GTTGTTCCAAAGCTTAGGTAATCGGTTAAAGTAGCTAGTTTGTAAAATTTTAGTGCGGCACTTAGTAATTAGCAATCCTAGAGCAGAACTGTTACGAGTGGTGCGAGTCGGAGCCTAACTAGGAAAGTATTGATGAACAGGAATATTGACAAGACCTAAGCGACATTTGAGGTAGAAAGTGATGACTTTAACTTCATGATGATAAGAAATAGGCAATAAATGTAACTTTTGCAATCTCTGTAGGATAATGGGTCATCATACTTTAAATTTAATATATATTTTGTTGCTCTTCTCTGTATGGACTCTACTTTAGAAATATCACCAATTGACTGAGGGGCCCACAATTCACTTGAATAATCTAAATGAGATCTTACGTATGCTAAGTATAGTGATCTTCTGGTATTAGAAGCAAAACTGCTTGGGCTAAGGAAATGGATGCATGAATAGATAATAAAACAAAATAAATGAAGACACACAAGTGTAAATAGATTATTGAATTGTCAATAGAAAGAAAACAAGAATGAATATACGGATAGAGTGTGGATTAAAATAGTGACAACATTAAAGTAATAACAGTTTTTAAGCTAATAATTCATAAAAAATACTAACCCCACTCCTGCCAAGATTCAAGTAATTTAGTATAGATTACCAACCGTCATCTGGGAGTTTGGTCTTAATTTTTACAAGAAGCTGAACCCAGTCCGGAACTCTTAAAGCAATGGCTTGCTTTGCCATTACATCTTCACCAACGAGTTTTACCAGGCTCTTGTGAGGGTCGTACTTCTTGGCCGAGATTTCCATGGCTTCAGATAATTCATTATTTAGAAATTTCAATGCTTGCTCTGCATTATAGAGAATACTGTGTCCCACGAAACTACCAAATGAATCTGGACTTACTGACTCTTTAAGTGATTCTATGATTTGCTTACTTTTCTTCAACACTAATTTTCTTTTGGTTATAGGGCATATTTGAAGTTCCGCTACTTCTCTTATTGTACTTTTACACGACCAATTGCTATTGACATGGCTCGATCTCTCTGAATTGTCAACTGTGGTTGGTGTAGGTGGAGGAGTGCCGATTAATTCAACTGCTCTTAAATGATAAACACTTAATTGACCTTCAAGATTTTTTATTCTCGATGACTTTGGAGTCATACCAGCACTGGTATCGTCATTTTGCTCTCGCTTTTGTCCCTTTCCATTAATGAGACTGATAGTGTTGATGGCATAGGTATCAGGGTCTGACTCATAGTTCTCCAGGTCCTGTAAAAGAGGTTTTATATGATATGTTCCTGAGAAAAAGCTAGAAAAATCACATTATTCTAACTTTCAGTACCTGCATGAAGTGTTTGGTAAACGCGCACATGTAAATGCCACAGTTGTTGCTCTTTATTCCCTGTCTTGGAACCTTAATGATATAAGAAGTAATGATTAAAAATTGACATTACAAATATTTTATATTAAATTCCACCCTTGAATATGATATGTTGTGACTGACTTTACCTTTAGCGCATGATTAGCTAACTGCTGATGCCTTGGAGTAATGTGGTTAGAGTTGCATAGATGATCCAAAAACCTGAAAGTGAGGGAGTTTAAAGATAAAAGCATGCAGTGAGTAGAACTTATTTGGCCAGCTTGCCTTATCAACATATGCATATACTTGTTAATGGAATTTACTTCAGTTTGTCTTGTTGCAATATCCCAAGTCATGGAATCCAGCACAAGAAAATGCCTATGTAATGGAAATATAACAAATACTGTAAATGCATGTGTATAAAAAGCAATCATATCAAAACATAAAATTACGTACACTTATAGCTAC